TGCGCGATCTGACGGGTTGTTTAAGCTTCGTCCTAACACCAAGTATATCCTCGAGAAACACGAAACTCGAGTTTTACTTTCGCCAGAGTTCGCCAGATCGTCCGATATTTAATCCCTGAGCCGCTGGAATGAATGACTTTCGTGATCGTTCAGATGTACTTTTCTGGGCAATCGGTCAAATGTTCAAATCTAACAGTAATGGAGGGTGATCTACCATATATACTATCCGTCAACGTCAATCGAAAAAAGCTCTTCAATGTAGGCTTAGGTGCCCATCCATAGCGAAATCTGCGAGAAAAGAGTATACTTTGTTACTTGTTGGCGAAACTCGAGTTCATCGCTTCCGTGATCTGTGTGTGATTGAGAGTTTGCATGAATTTCAGATTGTGTACGGGAATGAAATCGAAAGGATGATGACCTGTTTAAAATCAGTCGTATTTGTTAACTACTGAAGTTCTATTGTCTATTCTGTTACATTTCACTTGTCGCCACTTGGTCAATATTAATTACTCCTTTATCACCAGGTTTGGGATATGGCAATGAATGTGTTATGGCGCGAATATCTGCTCTTGCCTGTGCCGGTGCTCGGGGTTGAATGGGTTCCCATCCCCGGACAGGCACAAAGCAAACCCGATACCGAAGCAATTACATCGAGTCCCAGTTCTCCAAACGCATTTCATTTGGGCCTGATCGTGTATGGCTGGCAACCGACAGGAAAATCTGGCCTTATGGGACTTGGGAACGGCACAACCTCAACAAATACCAGCAACAGCTCCTCGGATCGAAACGGGACAAATACGGATGTTCGACTGGAGGGTCGAAACGTTGTCTTGTTAGTTGATTTGGACACTGGTTACTCGCATAGCATTCGCGGTTCCAGTCCGTCTGGTCTAGCCGAGGTTCCTATGCGTTCTGGAGGCCTTGGATCCGGAACACCCTCTCATAGAAGTCACATGAGCTCAAGTTCTCAATCGGAACTTGAGGGTCCCGTGGAACTGGCACGGGTGAGCCACAACGGGTGAGTGAGGTGCTTTGTTTTTGTTTCATTTATTTGGGAGGAGAGAAGCTGAGAAGCAACACTTCGTTCATCAACAAATAACCATTCCTTTTGATAAACCCGTCGATTAGTTTGCTTTATGAATAATTTGCTGCTTACCCTTGGTCAGCTGTTCCTCATTTCGCCGTTCATTGAATCGAAATGGGACGACGGAGTATACCAATGAATGACACCACTGGTCACAGGTATTCGGAGTCTGTGGTTCGACAGGCTGCGGCAAAAATATCAGGGTAGGAATATCATGCACCTATTGTGGGAAATACTTTCACTCCTCGTGCGCGAAACTACCGAGCAAGCAAGCAAAAAAGATGGCTGCATAACCAGATTGTTTTTGGTTTTGAACGGATTGCTTGAATACCCCCGTTATCAAATGTATAATAGGCATCTCGAATAGATATGAGAAGTTGTTACTGGCTGCTAAGGAAAAGGCAAACACTAGAATCTCAGCACGGGGAGATAGGGTAGCTTCCCTGTATTCCCAATCGCTCCCTGTGAGTTCAATCCAGCGGCCGACAAAGCGTCTTAGGTTTTCCCATAGTAGCTCTGACCCACGGTACATGATACGCTCCGCCGAAATTGATAAGGTGCCGAAAACAATGCGAAAGACAAGTATTGTCCCAAATTTGGAGAACCATTCAATACAGCTGACACTGGCTCATATTACGAAGACAATAACAGCAACAAACGATGCGCACTCAATTTCAGGCTCTGGAGTCAAACTGAGTCCAATGTATGTACACCGCAGGTACATCATACATAAAAAAAAAACAAGCGGACTATTGATCACGCTGCCCTGACGGTTATCTGCACTGATGAACCAGAGGCGACAGCAACTTCGCTGAGGGGGAGAAATGTGGAAGAGCTTGGTTACTGGATTGCATTATGCCCTCAAATGAACACTGACGTTCACCCGATGAACGTCGTACGCCTCTTTCGTCAACCGTCCTCACCTCACGCCGGGGAAACCAGACTACTTCGCGTTACTTTGAAGGATGAGAAAGACGTCGAGAACGTTCTTCTTTCTAGTTACCTTCTTGGCAAAGTTTCGAGTTGTATAAGAATACTTCCTGATTGACCGTGGACCGAACGTACGCGCCATTGCACGAACCCAGTAGATGCACGCGAGTCGGATAGTAAACCAGTTGTATTGATTTTTGGTGTCTCGAAATGAAACGATCCAGACGAATCTACATGTCAACAAAACGATTGTAAAGAGTGGAGGTTTATTCAAGAGTTGATTGGATGCCACAATATTTTCACCACCTCATTCATCCGACTTCCTTGTTGAGCAAACTACCGTGAAAACGGCCCGAGGATTGCGAAAGTAACCCTCAGTACCCCGCAAATGGTCACATCGATCTTCCAGGTATCAAAACCGAAAAAGAGGACCACCACAATTACGCCTCAGGCCACTGTTGAATAGTGAGGTAAAACG